TGGACAGATCGAATTGCTTTATCATTCGTTTGTGTAATTGTGTGCAAAGTTGAAGTAAAGCAATTCGATCTGTCCATTGGTTATGATAAATATCCAATCATCAGTGGTTGATACCTCGTATATGCCCTTTCCATGACAATCTAGAAAGTTTTCGAACTGATAAAAGTAGCGTATTATTGCCAGACCGAAGCATCTGGAAGCGTCGATGCGACCCAATTTCATTCAAGTAAAGGATCTCTTTATCCACTTGCAACGACATCTCACTTTTCAAAATTCATTGTGAACAACAAGTGAACATAAACAACAAGTTTTTCTATACCAACTACAATTATTAAAAATTTCAAATGACTCAAGCTACTTCTGGATACTCAGTGGGCATCGATCTTGGCACGACTTATTCGTGTGTAGGTGTATGGCAGAATGACCGCGTCGAGATCATTGCTAACGACCAAGGCAACCGCACTACTCCATCGTATGTTGCATTCACAGACTCAGAGCGCCTTATTGGTGACGCCGCCAAGAATCAGGTTGCAATGAATTCGTCCAACACGGTGTTTGACGCCAAACGCCTTATTGGTCGCAAATATTCAGACCCCGTCGTAAAGGCCGATATCAAGCACTGGCCATTCAAGGTGACAGCTGGTCCTGGTGATAAGCCTCAGATTACAGTTCAATTCAAGGGCGAGACAAAGACATTTCAGCCCGAGGAGATTTCATCTATGGTGCTGATTAAAATGCGTGAGGTGGCTGAGGCTTACATTGGCAAAGAGGTGAAAAATGCCGTCATTACGGTTCCAGCTTACTTTAATGACTCGCAACGTCAAGCAACAAAGGATGCCGGTGCGATTGCTGGCCTCAACGTGCTGCGTATAATTAACGAGCCGACAGCTGCTGCGATTGCGTACGGTCTGGATAAGAAGGGCGGTGAACGCAACGTGTTGATCTTTGACCTCGGTGGTGGAACCTTTGATGTGTCGCTGTTGAGCATCGAGGAAGGTATCTTCGAGGTCAAAGCCACGGCGGGTGATACGCATTTGGGCGGCGAGGACTTTGACAACCGTCTTGTCGATCATTTCGTCCAAGAATTTAAACGGAAGCATCGCAAGGACCTGTCACAGAATCAACGTGCTCTCCGTCGTCTGCGTACAGCGTGTGAGCGTGCTAAGCGTACGTTGTCTTCGTCAGCTCAAGCATACATCGAAATTGATTCGCTTTTCGACGGTATCGACTTCAACTCGACCATTACTCGTGCTCGTTTTGAAGACATGTGTGGAGACTATTTCCGCAAAACGATGGAGCCTGTGGAGAAAGTGCTGCGTGACGCGAAGCTTTCTAAAAGTCAGGTACACGAAGTGGTGCTTGTGGGTGGGTCGACTCGTATTCCCAAGGTGCAGCAACTGTTGTCCGACTTCTTTAACGGCAAAGAGCCAAACAAGTCGATCAACCCCGACGAGGCTGTTGCCTATGGTGCTACAGTGCAGGCTGCGATTTTGAGTGGTAACGACTCGTCTGAAAAACTGCAAGATCTTCTTCTGCTCGACGTGACACCACTCTCACTGGGACTCGAGACAGCTGGTGGTGTCATGACGAC